ATGCAACTAAAAAATACCCAATTAATTATCATTATGTAAGTTGTGTCCCACATATGCATAGCACACTCTGAAATTATTAATGCTGTAGCAGCTGAGTCCCAATATAATCTGCCACATTTCTCTTGCTTCAATAAAAAAAAAATATCACAAATTCAATGACAGCACTAGACACAAAATCAGCTATTGCAGTAAGAATTAACTCATATCTGAGTTCAAGTCTAACATTTTAAACAAACTGCTGAGTTCAAGTCTAATGTCCAGATACTATGTTTAAGAAAGCAATATCTTCACCAGTAAAACAATCATTATGACTGAAGACTGAATCATCTTCTACTTTGCTTTTTTGTAGAAATAGGGACACAGTGACAAGCTCTTTCCCCTAAGGTTAGAAGACAGTGAAAAAAGCTCAGTGTTAATTCATGAGGATCAGGTCAAGAGGTCTGCAACACAGCATAAAAATACTATGTTGCACTTGTAGCCATTCTACAGACATTCAGGAATACACTTTACAATTCAACTACTGAAATAGGTCATAAAATACAAGATTGTTTTTTGAAAGAACAGACTGCTGGCAATCATGATTAAAAGCTTACACTTATGATCACTAATTGCAAACTCATCATAGCTTCAACAAACTTTAAGTTAGGAATGCAATGTTTATGGGTCAAAATATGTACTTTACTGGAGATACTAGACATCAGAGATCTCTACTGATAGGTCTGTGTTACTTAAGATCCACCTCCTCTTGCTAGCCAGGTATTTTACCTCATGGAGGTAAGATAACAATGCAGCTTCCCAAAATTAACAGCATTAGTCCTGCATTTCTGATCTACGTATGACCCCTATTCAGATCCTAAAACCAATCTTTGTGTCCAACATGAAAGTATTTATTCCAATGACAAAGTATTTTTAGAAGGAGACAATGGGTTTCCAAAACATTTTCCAAAATTCTTTCTACAGGATGCAAATGAATGGCATGGCATAGTGAATTAGCACTTTTCTGAGATAACACCATGCCTTCACTTAAATGCTGCAGTGAGTCCATAATAGTGCCATATAAACCTTTGACATTCATTGCAGCACATATGTACAAGGTCCAAGGAATCTTGTATATACCAGTCTTGCCTAACATAAAACGGCTTTGCTTTTGATAATCCATGGCATCTCAAAAAAGCCAAATACCTAAACAATAAAGTGACTGGTACGTCATAAAGGATTAGATGTAAGTGCATGCTAATAAAAATACCAAAACTTTTTCCATAAAGATCAAGTATGGAATATATTATAAATGTTTGCCTGTGCTACAAAGAGACACCAGTGATGCAGTGATGACAGAACTGTATTCTTCTCTTCCTCCTACCTGTAAAGGTTACAGTCAATGTTATACCATGTGATTTCTAAAACTGCTGACCCAAAGCTGGAAGGAGAGATGCAAAGTCACTTACTCAGACACACAGAGGATGGTTTCTTTGCCTTCTTCCACTGCAATTTCAACATCATTCTTCACATGCTCCACTGTCAGCAGAGCTCCTTTAAAAATAAGAGAAAAAGATACTGAACTTTCTTCCAGAAAAGATATTTTTCATCATAGCAACAAAACAATTACATTTCTTATTAAATAGGACCAGGTGACCGAACTGGCTACTTCAAGTAAGATTGTCCAGGAAAGAAATTAATGTTCAGTCTCATATGCAAGAGGCTCTTATTCTTGGCAATCCTTACAGCTTCAAATTGATAATATCCAGCATTCAGTAACCTGCAGTGAGCTCAGCAATTGTTAGCAGCAATACATTTTGCTTCCTAAGGGTATTGTAAAAATCAGTGCTGTCCCCCACTATAGGTGGGAAGTGTAATCAAATTGGTTTAAATTATTGAACAGCATAGTAATGTACTCCATCCTAGCCCTGACATATGCATAAAAGGAGATCAATTACTGAATATGCCAGTACTTTCTGAACAAGGACAAGGCTATCTTTAACCTGATTTAATGTTTATGAAAAAATTAGCCATTCAAAAATGAAGAAACCCTATCCACCTAAAAGTGCAGGAAGCTTATACAGGGTTTTCAGAGTAAATAGTTCAGCAGGGAGAGTAAAAGGTGGTCTCTAGGAAATAAAATAATTTTTTGAAGTTTTTAGGCTACATTGTCAACTGGATAGCTCTGCTAATTTTCAAAGTGCCTTGGTGCAAACCTGCTCTGATCTTGATGATCTGTAGCATGACACAGTTGCTCAAACAAAGCACTGAGCTAACTTGGCTGTATTTCTGGATTGGCTCTGGTCCAGATTCAGCCTACTGAGCATAAGTAAAGGAGCTTGTGTTCTTCTGCTTTGCTCAGAAGCATGCACAAAGACAGAAAGTTGTTGCATAGTTAAGTATTACTTAAATTAACCTAGCCAAAGGACTATATTGTAGGTCTTGAAAGGCATCTAACCTTTTACAGTGCCCACAGTGTGCCGTGCACTTCATCTTCCCTAGAACAACACCCAGACTACCCAAGGAAGATGATGTAAGCTATTAATACGCTGGCCTAAATACAAAGCACTGGAGCTAGGCATTCCCTAGCTCTCACCTCTGCTCAGCTGCAGACCCTTCTTGTAGCCTTAAGCTTTTACCAACAGTAAGTCAAGGTTCTTCACTCCATCAGTTACCTGTAGACATCAGGATGACATCCCTTGCGCAATATGTTTGTAAGATGTGTAAGTATTTTAATAACACGCATGGAAATGCTTTGAAGATGAAAAGCATTATGCATACCAAGCTACGTAATTAATACTAGCAGCACTAAAAGCTACTACACTTTTCCCAGTGCCCAGCAGATGAATAGTACAAAGTAGGAATGAGTAGGATGAGTGTGCTTGTCTTCTCAATACAAATGTTTACTGAAGTGTTTCCTCTGTAAAAGTTCTAAAATAATTATGTAATCTCCTGAATTACATCTCTAGTGCCACTCACCAGTTATTAAGAGATAAGAATCCTCCAAAGCCCCCCTAAATCGTTGTTAATAAGCCCACATTGCATAGTATCTTTTCTAACAAATTGGTATAAATAAGTATCAGGAGAAACATTATTTAAATTTGCATATTATACCTTAAGTAAATAGTTATGCAAGTTGTATTCAACTCTGAAATTCATTTAGAAATAACAGCATGAAAAGCAAATCAATAACTGAGATGAAAAATGTGAAGAAAATATATTCTGAAGAGTTAGAATGGAAAAGAGGTACGGAAGACATATAAAAAGCTGCGCAATGGAGAAGGTTCTCAGGTTTTTAAAGGCAAAATAACACGGAAGGGCAAGAAGCAAGTGAAAAAGCAAGAATTTGCAGTGAAACTTTGGACTAGCTCCCCTGACAAGCCAAATTTTAGCAGCAGGTTAGAACTGACAAGGAAACATAGTTAGGCTGAGCTCACAAACAAGCAATCTGAATTCGGGCTGCCTTGAAACCGCATCCTCAGCGCGCTAACTCACCTGAGGGGTCCACCTATGACTCAGTTTCTTCAGCCTATGTGCAAACCAACCCGCTGGAGCAGCCGCCGGAGGGCGGCAGGACCTGCCCTGCCCGGTGCCCGCAGACCGGGGCCAAGCAGGCGCTGCGGAGCACGACACGCGGCCGGCGCCTCCTCAGCACCTCAAGCACCGGCGGGACCGACGGCGCCGTGCCTGTCACACTACCGGCCTGCGCCCCCCCTCAGCAAGGCGGGTTCGTCCCGAAACCCTAAGGCCCGTCAGCCGTCTCCCCGCTGCCGAGGCCGCAGCGGGCACACGGACCCAGGCTAGCCGGGCCGCAGAGGGCAGGACGAGCAAGGGCCCCCCCTTACACCTCACCCGTCCCCAAGCGCATGATGCAACACGGCAACCCCACGAAAGGACAGCATCCCGCCGTACCACCACCCAGCTCAGCGGGAGGAGCGGGGTGCGCCCCGCACTCACCGAGCGGAGGGCTGCTCGCGTTGACAGTGAGGCTCAGCGCCGCCATCCCGCCGACACGGCGCCGGAACCACGGGAGAGGCTGAGGCGGGACCCGCGACCACGCCAACAAGGCAAGCGCCGGCTCGGCAGGTCCCGCCCGCCGCCGAGGGGCGGGGACACACGGAGCCACTTCCGGTGGCGGGGTGTGAGGAAGGGGGGGTTCAGTCTGGGCCTTTGTAATAGTAGAGTCAGTCCGAAGGGGATGGGGAGGTTGGAGTTGAGTGGAAAGCCTGGGTGTTGTGTGGAGGCTGCCTCATTTTTCGCCTTGTTGTAGGCCTCTGTAGGGTTGGGTGCCGGCGATTCCCTCAGGTAAAGCCTTCCCTAGAGTTTTGCAGCTCACCGTAAGCCTGAGGTAGATGTGTGGCGCCGGCTGCAGGGAGAGCTTCCCTCGTTTTTCTGTCGGTAATGACAAGTAGATCAAGCGGCGTACGTATACCGACACATGTGGTGCGGTGGTTAAGCAGTCTGTTTAGTTACGACTGTTACTTGTTACACTCCTCGTAAACGTGGATTTTGCAGTGTGCCCCAAGCTAGTCTTGGAACGAATTGCTAAAATGCTGTGTCAGCATTTTTCTCTTCACAGGAGGCAGACTCAAGTTCACATTGTTGCAAGGACAATGCAGTGTTTCCCCCCCCCCCGTCTAATTTATAGACGGTATTACAGCACCTCATGTGCTGCTAGAGACATCAAATGCTTGATTGGTGAACTGGTGCTGTTTTGTGCAGTGGGTGTAGTGGTACAGCCAGAGCATATCTGTATCTTTCGTGCTGGCTTTTATCCCAACTTCCCTCAATGCTTGCCTGTGTTAGCAGTTTTAGACTGCGTGCAAGTATGGAAAGTGGTTCCATACATAAGCATTTTTATACATCAGGTAGAAGCTGGTGTATGCTTTGTGTGTTTTACTCCCACTAAGGTAACTGTAAATGAGCAGAGCAATAAATTACAGCAGAATTAGAGCTTATACAGAGGAAATTTTCAAGCATATACCAAGTTTCAGATGAAAATAAGGATAAAGAAACAGATGAAATTGCTAACAGTGAGTTCTGTGATTTGTATTTTAATGTTCGATGGAAAGGTTTATTAAGCAGGCTTTTAGTTGTCTAAGTTTTTCTATGTTTAGTGTTAATGTGCTTTACAAATTCACATGCAGATTTTTATATGAATACTAAAGCATGCACATCCAAAAGTCCTGCAGAAGGTAGGGGTAAGAATTATGTATAACTGAGGCAGTGAAATGATGTTAATTTTGTATGTGGAATGATTACACTTATAATGGGGCAAAACGTGAAGGCTCTAATTAAAGCAGGCTGAATTTCTGTTGCATGTTCTTACTAGTCATGAGCTTGAGAAAGGAGAAGGTGAAGCTGTAGACAAAAGGATTAGATGCATGTGTTGTTTCTATATATGCAGCTTTAATCCAGTGTCATGATAGTATTATGGACTGGCTGATGATAGAATGCAGTAAGTGGTAATCTTGCTAACTGATCTGTAAATGTTATGATAAGCTGACCTCACTAAGGAAAGAGCTTCCTTAGATCCTTTTCCATGCATGAGCATGGGGAGGCAGAGAATGCTTTAGCAAGAGATGCTTGCTGGAAATAGAACCAGGTTTAAACCAGTGAAGTCACATTGGTGTTATCCTACTGTGAGGAAAGGATCTAATGTAAGGACTCCAAGTAAACTGGAGTTTACTAAAATACCTTGTGTGATGAAAGGAGAAAGAAGCAACTTGTACACACTGAGGGATTTGGGTCACAAAATATGAAGAAAAAAAGTACGTAGGGGCTCCACTGGTTCAAAATACTCCACAGTCCTAATTTCAGCTTGAAGAGACATCATCTGTTTTGGCCAAGGTTGCCCTGTTAGTTAGTCATATGTAATTTACTACTTACTCTCTTTTGTGTTCACGTAGACTGAACAGTTGAATCCTGCCTTCCTAACCCTTGTACCTATGGGAAAGCTGACTGAAACAGGCTCTCCAATTTGTAAGTTTATTTTAGGTGATCTTGTCATCTGGTCTCTCTCCTTCCCTAATGTGCTGACGTTCCATAGGAGAAAGAAGTGGTAATGTCGGGTTCGAGCTCTTGGTGCTGTTGGAAAGGCACCTAGACATAAAAAAAAAATCAAGTCCTGGCATTTAAGTTGTCCTTGTGTATGACAAAGTGACCTAGGATGCTCTCCAAGACTGAGATGACACAGACCCCAAGAGAGGCATTCCAAATCATCAGAGAGGTGCTGGGAACTCCTCTCCCCATTGCAGTTTCCTTGGCTTCTCCTCAGCTGAGGCGTCCTGAACTCTGCTGTATTAATGCTTCACTGATCCCAAATGGATCCAGTGATCCAGGAACCTCTATTTGAGATGTTATGAGGTCCAGCTGGACTGGTCCTGGCTTCTGCAAAACTGACACCCCAGTTCTCCACAAACAGCAATCTCTGCCATCCCAAAACTAAGTGCAGATCAGAAAATTCAAAGATTCACTTCTAAGAATCAAAACTGGGAACTTTATAATAAATGGGCTAATCCATCCAGGCAAATTCTTAGTCCATTTGTACTTAACATAATAAACTCTTGTTGACTACATACAACAAAAAAACATTGAGCAACATCAGGAAAATTACTTAACATGATTTTGTGCCCTGACTATTAAGATGATTTTTGGACTCTACTGTTATGATCAGCAGTATGTTAAACACCGTAATGAAGAACAAATACTGCCAAAGGATATGGAAAACACCTATCCAAGAAATGTGACTGGTTTGATGTTTTCTGCTAAAGACAGCAAAACAATCTGATCCAACATACACATATTCATTCTGTGTGCAATTTGAAATTATTGAACACCTTAGTGTAAGAACGCAGTTCAAACGTTCTAAAACAGTATTTCAGGCTCAGTTATCATCTCACTTTCTTCTCCAAGCTCGCTTTCTTCTCCAAGCTCACTTTCTCAGCCTACCAGGCCAAGTGAAGATGCTTTATTGCTTCAAGGCACAAGAGATTGTTTAACAGTGTTAGGAATACGACTGGCATAATAGTCATAATTTCTCAAAGCAGCAAGGACCCCAGCAGAATTCATGTGTTTCACTTCCTTGTTATACTGAAATGAATTTCCATGGATATCAGTTATCTTGCCTGGAAAAAAAAAAAAAAAAGAAAAGAAAAAAATAATCCAGCAAACAAAGAGTTGGAGAGAGATAATCTACTTTATTAGTACAAGCGATACAACTAAAAAAACCACGTTTGTTGTACACATGCCTGTCCTCAGATGTGAAATATCTTTGCTCCCAGTTTAAGTGCAACAGTTTTGTACTGACTGAAATCAAATAACTAATGGTTTTATTTTCTTTCAGTAACATTTACATTCCTTGTGTTTCAGGAAAAGGAAAAGACCACCTCTCTCTTATGGACTAACTAAAATGCTTCCTGAATAGTTTTTACATTTGACACTGACAGGAAAGAAAGAAATATCTTGAGTTCAAGTAAAAGCCAGGTAAGCCTATACAATAAACTCTAACATAATATAGAAATAACTTAGCTGGTTTTAAACAAGTTTCTAGAAATCACTTAGCAAGACCAACACCAATCTTTATGAAAGCTAACTTAACCATGACATACCTAAATAACAAGGAGGCTAAATAGAGCCCTGTGCTGCCCCAGATTAATTGGGTTTTTTGTGCCTGAGCTAACCTGTTTAAAGCTATCTCAGTTATCAACACTAGAGACTGCAGACAATGTCATCATAAAGCCAGTTATCATTGCTTGACAATTTAGGAGATTAAACCCCATTTATCAGCATAAACAGCAGAAAAAGTATATTAATACTTATATTCAAGTTCTTGTCGGTGAGACTTTTCATAACTCCTCTAATCTCTTCCTTCCTAGAAAGGTGAAGTGGCTTATGTTGGCTGGAGACCACTAATTTTACTGAATTACACAGAATCATAAAATGGTTTGGGTTGAAAAGGACCTTAAGATCATCCAGTTCCAACCCCCCTGCCATGGGCAGGGAATCCTCACACTAGACCATGATGCCCAAGGCCCTGTCCAACCTGGCACTGCTGAGGGTAGAGCATTTACCACTTCCCTGGGCAGCCTGATCCAGTGCCTCACCAACCTGACAGTAAAGAACTTCTTTCTTGCATCTAACCTAAATCTCCTGTTTAATTTTAAACCCCTTGTTGTATCACTACAGTCCCTGATGAATTACTCAAAGGAACAACTGCATTGTTTGGCCTGTTTTGTTGTTTTAAAGAATTCTCTGTCCACATATTACATAATATGTTACTAATGCTAAACTACTACATCCACTTAGGACAGTGTGATTTTACTGTGAAATAGTAGCCAACAGAAAAAAAAACATTTATTTTGGCCTATCCCTTTGGAGCTACTGTTGATTTCAGATGACTTTTTTTTTTCCCCTATGAAAAATATAACTAACTTTAAATTACATTTCACTTATCTTAGAATTTTGAATGATATTAACTTACCTCCCACAGCATGTAGAATAGCTTCCGGTGCACATGTATCCCATTTCTTGCACCCAGGACTTGCAAATACATAAGCAGATGCCTTGCCTTCTATAAGCTGAATGACCTATTAGGAATAGAGAGTGGCAATCATTGCAAAGGATCTAGACATTTAGAAATGGGTAAAACTAACAACAGCAAACAGGGATTAGATCAGTTTATTAACGCAGTTACTCTCAGAAAAAGAACACCAGCCATTTCCTTTCCAATATTACAAGAAATTATATTAAGATTTAGAAAGCTATAGTGTATTACCATTCTAAGTGATCTATTTTGTATTGTTATGAATAGTCTAGTAGATGAAAATCTGATCTTAGTTTCAGAAGAGAGTCCGTTTTTGACAGCCATGACAAAAAAAAGCTTTAAAAACTGTAGCAAATGGGTATTCCCTGCATGCAGAGAAGTTCTGCAAAGGAAATATCACTGAGTGCTTGTATGTTTATTGTTTCATGTAAGCTACTAGATAGTTGGAACCAAAACTGTATTAACATGAAAGAGAGGAAATGTCTAATAGCTGTGATTAAACTGAATTCCCATTCAGTCTTCATTACAACTTTTTATTTTCTCCCCTAGAAACAAAATACAGGGCAAGATGGACCTGAGCTATGACTAGCATGGCCACTGTTATCAGTATACCTGTAATAAATTCTCTCTACCTCACCGCACACTGAATGCTAGGAAGAGAAGTTGTGCTGGGAAAGGAGGAGGAAATCTGTACATTTATGCAAGTAAGTAATTTCTTTAAAAATTCTTTTTTTTTTTCCAAAGGTACCACCTCCCAGTAATAAGATTTATAGCTTTCATACCTTGTTTCCTGCTCCTCCAACTCTGATGACACTGTCTGGATTCAAAGCACTGATGCATTCATTTACCAGGGCACTGCTGTGAGAACGGGTGGTAACTATGATATGTTTCCCAGCAGGTGCTTCTGTGAGCTGAAATCCAAAGGCACCTATGCCTACGACTCCCCAGATTGTCCGTCCCAGCACAGCATCAGGTCCTGCCTACAAAAAAGGTACACAGGTCCAGGTGATGGTTAATCACAGTGATCAGCATTTAAAGCTCAAATGGAAGGAATACTTAGAGATGTCTTTGCATATCAGGGAGTATAATACTAGGTTGTATGTTTAAACTACTCTAGAGCTCAGAGTGAGAAACTGGGTCTAAGGCAAGGACATTGTTTACCCTTTTCTTATCTGTGACATTGTGGTGCATTACATTCTGCCTCCAATGACTGATGTTAATATTTGTATATTTCTGTACTTCAGGCACAATCTGTAACTAAAAATACCATGTCATTTTAAATGTTTTGTCATACATATTACACAGAACATATAGAATCAGCTGACGATATGCATTACATCAACTCTAGAGTTTTTCTTTAAATTCTAGTGAGTTTAATCAATCAGGCTGTGCCATATGCTTTTCTCCCCATCACACATAATACTGATATAATCTCAAAACATGTTTAAATGCTTGTAGGTTGGCCATCCTGGACTTATTCCTGAAACCTAGCGTGATATACTCTAAGCCAGCTGTCAGCGACAGGTACCTTTGGTTTACTACAGGGCTGCAGATTTATGGCAGTTATGACGTTTCACAAATGCACCTACTGCATGGATTTACTAGAGAGTTTATAGCAGACTCCAAAACCACTGATCTGTACTTATTTTACAACATGTACTCTGTATTTACTCTAGCAATATGTACAGCATATATTCAATATATAGTATATTACACAAGCCTCAGGATTCAGTATAGCTGTTAGTAGACCCCTGAGATTCAGTTCCTGGAAACCAACATTCAAAACTGTACATATTTAATAAAAAAACCCACCACCTTATAATCCAGCATTAAGTCCACTATGTGCTGCTTTTCAGTTGAAAGTGTGCTGATTAGAAAAGGCTTAGAAGAGACAGTCAGAAATCATCTAATGCTTTTAAACAAATCAATGCATTTAATACCTCATAGTTGTAATATGGCTGGTTAATAACTCCTGCTATTGCTTTGCCTCCATAAGCAATTCCAATAAGAACCGTTACGTGGTCAAGGAGACCTGTACAGAAATCACATGAATGTAGTTATGCTTCAAAAAGAGAGTATATATATTTAGAAAGAGCTCCTTCAACAGATATCTTGATACGCAGAGTGGTATCTTAAAAATGCAAATACTAATCAGAATTTTCAGGTGTAATAGCTGGTTGATATAATTTTTTTAGTCATTTACCCTAGAGGTTTGCAAAAGAAAAAATGCCCCAGATAGAATTCTTTTAATAGAACTATGTTATAATTAACACAAAATGAGGAAGAAATTTAAAGATACAGCTAAATGGAAGTATATGATAACATTCTTCTTTAATTGTGTTGTGGTTTCTTTAATGGTATTCAAAACTAACAATTTGTTGACAATTGTACATCTCTCTTCCTGAAAAGGGGAAAAAATCTGCCTAAAAGATTTCACATTAATCGACTAAAAACTGCAGCAAGAGGTTTCAGCATATTGTTTCTGGGGGTTTTCTTCTGTTTTCTTCATTTTAGGGTCTATTTCTAAGAACACAAATTAGGCTTTGCTGAAAACAGTTTCAGAATTATGATTTGAAGGAGACGTTTTATTTTGAAAGGGCTACAAATACAGCTCTGGTATTCGAGTTGTTTGAAGAGGAGGATTTAAGGGCATTCCTGTGTGATTTAGCCCCTCAATTGAAAGTATATGTGAAATTGTAAGTTTGACTTAAAGCTGAAGGAAATCTGCCAGGAACCAAAGGCAGCCCTTTGCTCCCTGAAATGATAAAAACTGGTGGGCATTCAGTACTCTATCAGGAATATCTAATACTGAATGGAATTATGAAAAAATCCATAGAACTCAAAGTAAAGAAACAACATCAGCCTTATGAAACAATATCGTGTGTAACTCCTATCATATAACTATCTACATGTGCATGCTACTTTATTGCATTCCTTTTTGGGTTTAAATCAACAGAATTAAAGGAGAGGCCAACCTTCAGTGTACTCCTTGGTTCCGTCCAAGGGATCAACCCATATTACAAGCTTTAAAAATACAAAAATAAGGACATTAACAAATACAAATGATGTAAGCTATCATGCAAAGTACATATTTTACTTTAGTGCTTTCATTTCCTTACAGGAGTAAATACAGAAAAAGTTCTTTACACAAAAAAAAGCTTAGAAACTGACTAGAACTTCTCAGCAAATATGTTTATAGAGGTACAAAAGCTTAAACTTGACATGGAAATGACATTATTATGTCTGAAGTAGATAAATTAATTTGAATCACAAGTTGCAGGAAGCAAATGTCCATTTCCCACTGTTGCACCTCAGGAATATGCAGCATTTCCGGCTCTGGAGGTGTGATTCTCATAATGACATTTCAGTTTTCCAACCAAAAGGAAAAGCTTGCAACTCTGGAATAACCTTTTTCCTAATACATTCTTAGCTAAAATCAGTAAGTAATATAACATAGTGTAAAATATGAAGACATATATAGCATTACCACATTACCTCTTCTTCTTTAATTCCTGTGTACTGAGCAGGACAAGTTTTCTTTAGGATTTCTTCACAGTGACCATCTTCAATTAGTTCCTCAGTTACCTCATCACTGGGCAGTTCCTAACAAAAGTATTCTTAGATTTATTGCAAAAGATGTTAGGCTCACCTCAGTTTGCCTTAAAACTCTGGATTTACTAGTGGCTTGCTTGACAAACCCAATGCAATGGAAGGGTGAAATGGAAAGCTACTATTTTTAATAGGTTATTTCTTAACACCTGCCAAACAGATTCCACTGCAAGTTACTAAACTGTTAGTATGAAATAAACTAGGCACTTACTTCTTCTCCTATGATTGTCACCTTGGGAAACTTCTGTGCCAGCGAAGCACAAATGCTCATTTGTACCAGTCGGTCAGCTTTGGTCTGCAAGTCATTGGCTCCAGTCTGTAAAAGGATGGATGGGAATTTGTATGTTTCAAAGCAACAACAAAAAAAACTCAGCAGTACAATGGCCCATATGTCATGATGAATATCTACCTCATAATGAAAAAGAAGTCTCCTTAGATAAATCATCAACCTAATAAATGATCCTGAGAGAGGCAGGCTAAAAACTGAAACAGACAGTTTCCCTGTACATCCCAAAGCTAAAATAGACTGCTGTGATATCAGAACAAGATTTACATGCTGTGTTCTTCTCATGCAGTGGTACAGAGTAAATTAATATAGGTATGATCACAGATACGAGGGAAGAGCAAAACCAACATGCTATCCAAAGCTTGTTTTGTTAAGAAAATCAGGACAAAACTGAGGTGTTTCTTTTAAGTGTCCAAACATTCTTTAGAAATACCTGTCAAAAGATACTTCTCCAGTGCTCTTTTAATCCTTTAATAAGGAATATTTCTTGTATTGGAGAGGCGAGGACTGTATTTCCTTCCTTATTTGCTGATCTTCAAAAATACCACTTTGACCTATATCTAAATTAGCATTAGTAAGAGAAATTATATTAGAACAAAGTAAAAGTTATACCTTCTCCACTATGCCCAGATCTCCTGCAGCCATTACATTTCTAACAATTGTTGCAGCTTTTTCTGCAGCAGAATATGCAGAGGCGACCACACGCATGAGCAGAGTTGGAGAAGCCATGCTGAAAGCTGAAAGGAAACAAAAAGCAAACTTAGAATTGTAGAATAGTTTGGGTTGGAAAGGACCTTAAGATCATTCAGTTTCAACCCCCTGCCATGGTCAGGGATGCCTTACACTAGATCATGTCACTCAAGGCTCTGTTCAACCTGGCCTTGAACACTGCCAAAGATGGAGAATTTACCACTTTTTGTATGTTTTTCTCTTCAAGAGAAGACAAGAAATAAAATATTTTAGTTAATATTCCAAACAGATGAGAGTTAGAGCTGAGTAGGAGGGGGTATGTGGGTTACTTCCAGTGAGCAGTAATGAAGTGAGCTTTGACTTTTTGAAAAATACATTAAATATGTATAAAGCCACTTCAGACAAGTTTTCAAATACCTGTTCTCTGATAGGCAATCTAGTTCTTATTAAAATAAAATCTGACATTAAACAAGAAAAGCAACAGAAGTTCATAAATGTTAGAAAAAGTGTAGTTTACTACTAGTCCATTGGTTGAAATGTAAAACAGGTTTTTGTAGATGGCCTAACTGTGGGCATAAATTAGGCTAATGATACACAGATATTGCAAACTTGTATGTGGAAGTCTGTTCATCTAAAGTTTAGCATCCTTTCCATATTTAACTTCTCTTGTTTTTTGCTAAGGAAATGTATTGCAACTTCTTCTGTTCTGGTTCCTCAACATAAAAAGGACATGGAACTGTTGGAAGAAGTCCAGCGGAGGGCCACAAGGATGATCAGGGGACTGGAGCACCTCCCATATGAAGACAGGCTGAGAAAGTTGGGGCTGTTCAGCCTGGAGAAGAGAAGGCTGCGTGGAGACCTCATAGCAGCCTTCCAGTATCTGAAGGGGCCCTATAAGGATTCTGGGGAGGGACTCTTCATTAGGGACTGTAGTAATAGGACAGGTTAAAACTTACACAGGAGAAGTTTAGATTGGATATAAGGAGGAAGTTCTTTACCATAAGGGTGGTGAGGCACTGGAATGGGTTGCCCAGGGAAGCTGTGAATGCTCTATCCCTGGTGGTGTTCAAGGCCATGTTGGACAGAGCCTTGGGTGACATGGTTTAGTGTGAGGTGTCCCTGCCTATGGCAGGAGAGTTGGAACTAGATGATCTTAAGGTCCTTTCCAACCCTAACTATTCTATGATTCTTCCCCTCAACACTGCATGTCCTGTAATTCTTCCTACTATAATCCTCTGCATCTGTTCCCCAGCACACACCAGTGCAATTCACTGTGCCTTCAGTTCCCAAATAGAACAACTATCACTTGTGAAAGGCCAACAATCATCCATGCCTCCCAGCTTTTCTCTACCTCAGGAAAAAGAAGTATGGATCACCAGGCTGTAGTTTTTCAAATTCTGAGCTAATTTCTTTTTTATGTTTTCCTGTCAGTTCTTTCTGTCTGTGTAGATTACATGCTTTTTGGGTTGGGCTTACACATGCAATATACTTCCAATTTAATTCTTGAGCACACAGCTAGAAAAAATACAGAGGGACTCATTAATCACCACACAGAAGACTGTATCAGGCCTTCCTCACAACCAATATTTGCAGCAATTGTAGCAAGTATTGCATAAGTTGCACTAGTAGGTTATTAGACAATATCCTTCCTTTCTTGCTTGAGAAATCTCTAGTGTACTCTTTAAAGTATAATGTAATGAGGTTATAAGGCTAGCTACTGTAGACGATAGTGGTAAGACCTCAAGTTCGTATCTTTACAGTTTACAGCAAACACCCATGCTAGAGGTATCAAAATCCCTGATTTAGCTGGTTTAAGAACTTTTCCAGCACTTTACAAACACTGCATGGGTATCTCTAAAGCTGGAAGATCTTTGAATCTAAAAGAGTCATTGTGTAAGTACATTCAAAAAGCAGAGCTGCTACTGGGTTTTATGACCTACTGCTTACAGATAGGAGCAAAGTGCTCTGGCAGAGTAGCCAGGGTCTGTACCCAAAGCACTCTTGGTCTATCTTCGACTGGTAACAATGGCTACAGAGGAGATTTCTGAAATGCTACCTGTGGCAAAAAGCAACTCTCAAACAATTGAAATTTGTAGAGCAAATATGTGTCATAACACACGGGGAGAGTATTATTTTAAGTATACACTATCATGTGAAGCAAGTTAAAGGAAAGGAAAGTTGACTGTAATTCATTCCATACTGAAAATACCTGCAATATTAGAACTTCTGAGAGAGAGTAAAAATTAGCATATTAGATGGGAAGTTTGGGTTAAATAATTGAGCTCAGAAGAGGATAATTAAGATTTTGATGCTCAGCTTCTCATTCTTCATTTGACCTTTTATTCTGCGTTTGATCCTGCTTTGTAAAATAAGGTTTAAACTTTATTATTTTAAAGGCTTGATTTATTTAATGATTTCATAAGTTAAAAAAACTCTCAGAAAACAGTACAGAAATACTGTCTTATATTCTTGAAGCTCGACTCAAGATGCTTCTTGGGCACAGTTTTCTTGGACATTCTTAAGGCAAACAAATATACTTTCTGTAGTGAGCCTATACCTGAAGTCTTTAAGCAAACCTTAACACTGAAATATTTTATGAAAAACAAGATTTATTATGAGAAACTAAAATGGGAGGTTCAGCATCCCCTCCTCCCCAGTATACAGTAACTAACTACTGAAGTGTGAAGTACATTATTACTGTGAAAGACAACTTAAAATTTTACAGGGCTATACCTCCTATGAGGCACATTTTCTGGTGTGTTGGACATTTTTGGTTAGGTATGTGTGTGCACTAGTTGTCCGTAAGTTTCTCATCTCTAACTTTTTTATCTCAAATTAAGTAGCCTATTTAAAAGTTTATGGCTCTTTCTGATGAGGGCAATGTCTAATACTTACTTCCACAAGCTGGTGAAGGGCCTGGAGCACAAGTCTGATAAGGAGCAGCTGAGGGAACTGGGGGGGGTGGGGTGGGGTGGGGTGTCAGCCTGGAGAAGGCTCGGGGGGACCTTATTGCTACCTACAAGTCGTGAAAGGAGGATGGAGCTAGGAGGCGACTGCTGTCTTCTCCCAAGTAACATGTGACAGGGCTCAAGCTGTGCCAGGGGAGGTTTAGACTGGGTAAAAGGAAAAATTTCTTCCCCAGAAAGGTGCTCAGGCATGCCCAGGGCAGTGGTGGAATCACCATTCCTGGAAGCACTTAAAAGCAGTGTAGATGAGGCCCTTAGTGACATGGTTTAGTGGTGGCTTTGTCAGTGCTGGGGTAATGGTTTGACTTGATGAGCTTAAAGGTCTTATACCTGATTCTATGATTCTATGAACACATCCAAGAATGTATGGCTTGCTGTGGACAAACAAGTTTGACTCTTATAAAGGTATAGAGTTTACAAAGATTGCACAGCAGCTATCCTTCAAATCAAATTTGGGTATTATTTCAAAACCAAAACAATGTTCTGCAAATAGCTATAGTTTAATAAAAGGAGAAGGTAGATGTCTCAGCGCACTGGACAGTATGCAGAGCTTGCTTTTGCATGAGCGTGCTGAGCCTGAGCTTCTTCCCCTAAGTTCTTCAAAGCCCAGGTGATGAGAGCTCTCTATTCCTTTACCATAGACTTTGGCTCACGTTTTCTAAAAGATAAACTTTTCACTCTGTGTAAAGTGAGGAAATGATATTTATCCAGAAGGGGGCTAGGGCTTAGAGAGGGAATGCAACTTCTAGGGGGGAAGGGCAGTGTTGCCTCATTTCACCCAAGCGCTTTGAGGCCTTTTGAGTTTGTATTGAAAATAATCATTATTTTTTTCAAAGCCTGTTCCTGATTCTCTTGTGATTAGGGCTCCCGGCGGTAACCCGCGGCAGGACAGCGCACACCAGCCATGCTACCGAGCCGCGCTCTCAATGTATTTAGCCAAGCACTGCACAACGCTGCACAAACGGCAACCGCAGCAAACTTACCGTTCCGGCCGTGCTGCCCTCCGTCTCGGCAGCGTCCCCGCCACCCCTTCGCTCACCAGCAGCGTGCGGCAGCTCGGAGCCTGTCGACAGCCCTTCTTGTGAGTCCTTTGCCCCGAGGTAACAGGAGTCCAGGTCGCGCCGCCACAGCAGCCGGGAACTCTCAGAGGCTCCACCGCACCTCTCCCCTCATAAGCGCCGCCCGCTTCAGGCAGAGCTCGCCCCGATCGCGTCAGAGAGGCGTCTTTACAAACCAAGCCCGAAGCACCCCAGCTCCTCCCGGCTCCGTGGAGGGCTGACGCCTTGTCCCATGCTCTCGCCCGCCCTCCGAGGCCTGGAGGAAAACGCGTTGTGCCGTGGCGTGTCCTTTACCGCGGCCCGTCGCCGCCGCGTACCGTAGTGCAGGCGGAAGTGTTCCCCCCGCACGTCGTAGGAGCCGCCGAGGATGTTCCGGGCCTGGCGGACGCCGCCTCTGGCCCTGGTCCGAGCCCAGGCCCGAGCGCGAATCGCCTGGGGATGGGCGCGCCCCGCCGCCTCCGAGAGCCGGCAGCCTGCGGCGGAGCAGGACTCCCCGTTCCGGGACACCGTGCTGCTGCCGCGCAGCCGCTTCCCCGCGCAGCTGCCCGGGCGGCTGCAGCCGGAGACAGAGCTGGAAATGCAGCAGGTAGCGTCGGGGCCGCGGCTGGATCCCCCGGGGGAGGCGTGCCCCGGGAGCAGCTCCTGGGGGGGAGCGGGGAGGCTCGGGCCTGGGGAGGGGGAAGGTGGCTGGCTGAGGTTACTGTACGGGTCCGGCTTTGCTGCCATTAAGGTGTGGGCTGCCTAACGTGAGGCCCAGGCCGTCTGCAGTCGGCTGTCAGAGTATGTTGAAGGACTTCAGTTGTTTATGTACAAGCACAAGTACAGGCTGGACGAAGACTGTATCGAGAGCAGAAGGACTTGGGGCGTTGGTTGATGAGAGCTCAACAGGAGCCAGAAGTGTGTGCTTGTATCCCAGAAATCAACCGTGTGCTGGGCTGCATCACAGGCAGCATGAGCAGCAGGTCGAGGGAGGGGATTCTGCCCCCTTACTGTGCTCTCGGTAGATCCCCCCACCCGCAGTTGTGCTCCAGCCCTGGACCAACAGCACAAGAGGGATGTGGAGCTGTTGGAGCGAGTCCACAGAAGGACAACAAAAGTTAGCAGCACCTCTTCTGTGAATACAGGTTAGAAGAGTTGGGATTTTTCAGTTTGGAGAAAAGGCCCTGAGGAGACCTTAGAGCAGCTTCCAGTATCTAAAGAAGGCCAACAAGAAATCTAGAGGGACTTTTTACAAGGGCCTATAGTGGCATAGGCAAGGGGGAATAGTTTCAACCTGACAGGGTAGATTTGGAGTAAACATTAAGCAGAAGTTCTTCCCTGTGAGGGTGCTGAGGCGCTGGCACAGGGTGCCCAGAGAAGCTGTGGCCGCCCCATCCCTGGTGGCAGTCAAGGTCAGGATGAATAGGCCTTGGAGCAACCTGGTCTAGTGGAAGGTGTCCCTGCCCATCAGAGGTGGCTGGAACTGGATGAGCCTTAAGGTCTTTGCCAACCCAAACCAGTCTATGATGTACAGGTGGGTATGCTCTGGTTTGCTGCTGTTTTGTTTGGAGGAAGGGTAATGACCCTCTTGGTTGTGGAGAGCCAGAATAATAATGTTAGGCTTAGTGTTATGCCTGTCTTGAGCTTTTTAATACTTCTAAGCTAATAATGTCTTCTGCTACAGAGTTAGAAAAGTGAACTCTCCATGTTTGTTTGTTTGCTTTTATTACATGTTTTACCATCTAGCCAAAATTCAGGGAGTGATGATTTAGATGTTTTCTTGTTGTCTCTACAGCAATGTGGTTTTTCAGAACTGTATTCATGGCAAAGGCAAAGGAAAACGAAGCAGGAATTCTGTCTGCATGATGGACCACCTTATGCCAACGGAGACCCGCATGTTGGCCATGCGTTAAATAAAGTAACTATTTATTTGTTCACACTGTACTGCTTTGAAGTGGTAAACATGTCTTATAATGTGCTGTGTGTTCTCCATTCCTACTTAAATCAGTAACACTTCTAAGTCTTTGGTATTCTTGTAGACGGAGCTTTTCAAAAGCAAATGAATGGTTATGTAGATACCATATGATGCCATGGTGATACAGATACCATAAGAGAACATGTACCTATATTCCAAGTGTTCATTTATGAGGCTGGATATTTCAGTCAAAAGAGGACATCTCTTTAGAAACAGACTGGTCTGTAATTCATTCCTAGTCAGTATTAAATCCACAGTTTGTGTATGGAACGTATAGCACGTAGGCACATGGGTGAATGTGTATTTCTATATGTGTGTATGTAATAATGTTACTGTAAGGCATGGTTGAGCTATTCTTTTTTCCTCTAAGTACTTTGTAGATTTGTTCCACTGAATTTATTTTATCTTGCTATCCTCAGTGGAACCACAATAACTAAGTTTTGGTGGCTTTTAAAATACAGATTTCAGCTTTGAAATATTACTCCTAAATATTTTTGGATATGTTTAGATTCAGTCCTGAGAGTATCTGTACTGCATACACTGCAAAGTGGGAAGGACTTAAAATGTGACCCGCAGCTTGTACTACTAGTGTCAGAACTTGGACTGCAGTAATATGCACTAGGCCAACTCTGTAAATGCAGCTCAGTGTTTAAAAAATGAGGACAAGTAGGATTTGTTCACTTCAGGTCTTGCAGGTTTTTAATCTGCATCTTTCATCAATACTGAATGTAAATTCCCTTCATCAGGGGTCCTCTGAGGTTCTGCCAAAATACAAAATGGTGGGCAAGAAAAATCACAAATGCACAGTCTTAATTGCAAATTTATGCTGCAGCATTGTAGTTTAACCCCAGCTAGCAGTTCAGCACCATGCTGCCAGTGGGATGGGAAGAGAATTGGAAAAAAGGTTAAAACTCATAGGTTGAGATAAGAATAAATTAATAATTAAAATAGGGTGCAATATAATGCTAATAATGAAAAGAGAAATAACAGATAGAGAGGGGAAAAAAAGGGAAAAAAAACAACAAATAAGTAGTGCACAATACAACTGTTCAACACCCAGTCTGATGTGAGCAGTGATCGGTGTCTCCTGGCTGACTCCTTACAGTTTCTATACTGGGCATGACGTGCTGTGGTATGGAATACCCTTTTGCCTAGTTTGGGTCAGGTGTCCTGTCTCTGCTTCCTCCTGGCTTCTTGTGCCCCTCCTCACTGACAGAGCATGAGAGACTGAAAAGTCCTTCACTGGTGTAAGCACTACTGAGCAACAACTAAAACATCCGTGTGTTGGCACCGTTGTTCTCAGACTAAAGCCAAAACACAGCACTGCACCAGCTACTAGAAAGAAAATCAACTCTATTTCAGTTGAAACCAGGACATGCAGCCTTTTGTATTTTTGGGTGGGTTTTTTGTTTAGCAGGAGGATCCTAATAGTGTAGCTATTCCACGTGGGGGAGCCAAAGAGATAACAAACTCTTGTGTCCTTTCAGATTTTGAAAGACATCACTAATCGTTTCTACATGATGAGAGGTTATAAAGTACATTATGTGCCAGGATGGGATTGCCATGGATCGCCAATTGAGTTGAAGGCGTTGTCAGAAGTCAAAGGATCTGAAAATCTTTCACCAATGGAAATTCGACAGAAAGGTAAACTACTCTTTGTCATATCTTTATAGAAGTAGTTGGCTTAAGTATTTATACATCTTACTCATACTTCGTATTTTATGCTTCATACGTAGCTTTTATACTTTCCTGGAGGCTTTTCTATAAGCTATTGGTGACATTTTCTGGGATTACTATGTATTTACTGTGATACTGTGATTTGCCAAGCAGACTGAATACAGTGTAATCTTATGAAACGAGATAATTGAACATAGGCTTAATTCACTGCTGTAATCAATGTACATACTGTTGACCATCGGTTTAAAAAACCCCAAAAGGAAGGCAGAGGTTTTGGATTTCTGCCTTGCTTAACTGTGTAGTGACATGAAACTGGTGTTTATCAGATTAAGATCCTTTTGGTTTTTGAAGACTGGATTTGATTAGGAGCTAAAAAGATGCATTTAAAAATCAGGCTTCATCAGGACAGGTTGGCTCAGTACTTTAAGTAGGAATGTATTTGTTTACTGTGTTTGTAACAATATTACAGAACTATAAGAGTGATCCTTTCAGAGGAGGTTCGTCTGCATTATATGGAAACTGTTTGGAAGAAATAATTTTAAATACCATGTATATTGAGACATCAACATTCAGCTGCAAAGCTATTTGTAATGAGCAATTTAAACTGCTTTAGCTTGTGGCAATGAAATCAGCTTAACTTATTTTCAGGTGCATGTTGTTCTGAAATATTTGGCTCAGCATCAACAGAAGTGGTTAATTTTTACTCTTATTGTACATTATTTGAGAAGGCATTTTGAGAAATTGTTCTTCCTAACTAAATATACCTATCCCCCCCCCCCCTTACTTAAAAATAAAGTTTTTATTCTAGAAACATTTGTTTTATGTCCCCATATAAATCAAAAAGTGCCATTTCTGAATCTTTTTGCTGTTTGCAGTTTATGTAACTACTTCTCTGAAATGCATATTTTTTTGAGCCATAATAATCTATGTAATACACATCAGTAGTTAGTGCATGGTTTAAATATTTTCAGCTGAGTCTTTTCTATAAAAGGTCAATAGCATAATTAAGTGGTATTACATTGGTAAATGTACCAATTGTATAAAAATGTACCAAATGTACCCACTTACCTTGGTGGGGTAAACCACATGCTTAATGGAACTATTCCTTTCAGCCAGAGAATTTGCAGAGAGAGCAATTGAGAAACAGAAATCTGCCTTCATTCGCTGGGGTGTAATGGCAGATTGGGCTAACTGCTACCGTACGTTTGATCCAAAGTATGAAGCAAACCAGCTGAGAATCTTCTATAAAATGTATGATAAGGTATGCTGAGCTTTTGTTGAAGTCTGGTTTGATTTATCATGAGTTTTGATTATCCTAATTTAATTTCTTCCCCCCTTTCCTCTCCAGGGGTTCATTTATCAGGACTACAAGCCTGTGTTCTGGTCTCCTTCAACAAGGTAAGCATTGACTTAACTATTTTGTCTTCAAAATTTTAGCAAAGATATCAATAGC